TCATCCCTACATAGAAACACAATAAATTTAATACAGGCGTTCGTGGTCCACACAGGATGAACCCTCAGGATTTTGGACATCATCTGAGTTTTCCTCTGGTGCCAGTAGCACGTCAAATATCTCAGCGACTACTGGATGCTTTGTACAGACATTCATGGCTCCCAGACGACGAATCCTCATGATTTTGGAAATCCCCAGATCTTGTGTCACCAGGGGGTTGACTGTTTTCCTCAACAACAGCTGCCTTTCACTTATCACTTCCAGATCTCGTATGACCTGGATGAATCTTCACATGCTATTCAGTAATACTTTCAATTCATGGATAATGCAAGTCCTTGACTGAATGATTTAAGGTGCCCAGACCAGGACCTGGAACATACCAGGAATAAGAGATATTTATGTGCTAGGAAGAGCTGTTTTTGAGCTGTTGTCAGGGTGAACAAAACCTCTGTGGTTAGCAGCTTCTCTACTCTACTTAAAACAGGAAGAAACACAGCAAAATCTTTCTCTGTTCTTCATCTCACTGACAGCAGAGGAAACTAATCCAACGTTAAAGCAAAGAAATGGAGAAAGTAAAGTAATGCAATTATAAAAACTGCAACACATGTATTTTGCATTAGAATATTTTTAAAGAAAATATGTTTCATAATAACATATTACAGCTAATATTGAGCCTGATTTAACCAATAACGACAATGGTTGCATAATATCCCAGCAGAGGACGATTATTGTCCTTATTTAAAGATTAAGACCACTTGCACTTCAACTTCTCAGAAGATGAAGCAGCTGTTTGGTTTGTCATTGTTTTAATAAGAAATATTAAAATAATAATGTTTCTGGTTCCTTCATTTAAGTTTTCATTGCTTGTAATAAGCACAACTTGCTTAAAATGTTCTTGTAGTTTAAAGCATTTTACAGTCTTTTTGTGTTAGATTTTAATGCTTCTTTTAAGAATTATAGAATTAATCCCTATCATTTATATTATTATATTTAAGAATATTTGTTTCT